AAAAAGTAAAGTAAGTAAAAACTATATATGCATAAATAGTCTTTTCTATTTCTTCAGAAATCGAAGTCTGTTTCTTTGTCAATAAGTGAGTTAAACTTTGGTAAATCTAAAGATCCTACTTAGGCTACCTGTTTCTCATTTCCCTCCAAAAAAGATTTCTTCTATGTCTCAAAGCAAAATAGGCCAATCTGAAAACACAACCCAAAACATGTTAGACCATCACCTAGATGAAGTCTACACATTTATCCATGGATAAGAGATTTGATCTTAAGAGTTTAATTTTAGTTTTAATAATGTGTTATTTTTTTATAAAAAAAGAATGCCATTGATTTATGGCAATAAAGCATACACAGAAGATGTCATGATAATTGTCTCAGTTTTTCTTGTGACTAAGATTGTACCTCTACAAAATTACAAGCCAGAATTAGGGGTTACATCTGTAATTATGGAAGGGAATAAAGACAACTGGTTTGTGTAGGTTGAATATCCTAATCAGACTCTCAATCTCTCAGGCAAATGACTGTTAGCATCTACTCTGTGCTTGATACTCCAAAGAAGCTAAATGGTCATCTGGCTATGACTGACATCAAAAAACTAAAACTTCTACAGAAAATCATTTCTGTTTTTACTCATATAAGCCTTCAAAGGAATTCAGTTTAACTTTATTATGTATAACTTTTTTGTGGATTTTTTTGACGAATTTCTGAAACCCAGTATGTTCCATATCTGAAGTACATGAGATACAACTCAAATAAGAAATTGTTACTATGTCATCATGGCTACTATAATAAATTTTACTGGTAAAAATATTTAGATCAGTAAGTAAAATGTCATAGTCTTTAAATGGCATTCTCTATATTCTTAGTTTTATGACATCGGCAGCTAAATTTATCACAATCTACGTAGAGCAGGATAAATGGAAAATCCCTCCAATGGATGTCTTTGCAACATCCTAATCCCCTGTGGCACCAGACACTGAACCTGGGATTCAGCTGATCAAGGAGCATAGGAGTTTCTAAATAAATTAATTAATTACATTTAAGTGCCTATTAAGCTCCAAGTTCTTTAAAAACATTACTTCATTTAATTCCCACAATTATTACTATCTCAGTCATACAGAATAGGAACAAAGCCTTGTGACTAGGTACAAGTCATTCAGTTTCTAAATGTCCTGGGTCAGGATTCAATCCAGATTTGCCTAACACCAAAACCCATACCCTCATTTATTCAATTCTCCCTTCGTTTGCTTGCTTCTGTGTTGTACCTAGCAGTAAAACAGAATTCAGATTCTGAGTTCTCTCTCCTTCCCTGGAATTTTAGAAAGTTTTACAATTATTTGATACTAAAATGAGAGCAAATGTTCCCACCACTTGAACCAGCTTCCTTTCTTCCTCTGCCCTCCTTCTTTTCATATACAAAGAAGAACCCTGTCTATGTTCTTGTATTCAGGCTTTTCTTTTTCCCTCTTATAACTATTTCTATTAATGCTAGAGGCACATTATCTCTCCAAGTCAAGAGTAAATACCAAAATTCTCTGTCTCTTCCCCTTCACTCTCAACTGATGATTACTGAAAGGCCTTGGCTACTGATCTCAAAGCTAAAGGACAACTGGACACGCACAATGAGTTAGACACAGACACATGGGCTAGTTTCTTGTCAGCCTCAGGCAACAAACTCCGAGGGAATGTCTGCTGAAACTCATTTGGAAAGAACACCTGGAAAGAAGGTAGCTGGACACACAGGTGTTGTTAGGGAAAACCTCAATTTCTTCACTTATATATAAGAAACATGGTAAAGTGCAAAAATATATAATTTCATATGAATTTGCTTAGATGGCTTTGAAAATACATCTATAAAGACTAAGTTGAATGAGGTGATTGCTGATGGCGTCTCATTAAAGAGCTGATCCTATGATACACAAGTGCCAGTCTGGATGGAACAATGACGACATTTGATATACACAACTTTATTATGCATTCTGAAGTATGGAGCCTCTTCCTCAAAATAGCTAAATATTTCTTCAAAATGTTTCCCCAGTGGTTTGCACTTGCTAATACTCCCAGGATCCAGGTTCTAACATTCAGATAGTAGAGGATACAGCATAATATATGGAACCTTAAAAATTGTAGAATAGGGGCATCTGGGTGGCGCAGTTGGTTAAGTGTAAGGCTCTTGGTTTCCACTCAGGTTGTCATCATAGGGTTGTGAGATCCAGCCCATGTCAGGCTCCACACTCAGTGTGGAGTCTGCCTGAGATTCTCTCTCCCTCTCCCTCTCCCCCTCCTGCTCATGCTTATGCTATCTTCTCTAAAATTAATAAATCTTTAAAAAAAACTGTAAAATAAATATTATTTTGATAATGAGAAAAAATAAGTAAAAAATAACTGACACATACTTAGACCGAAAGAAGCACAGACCTTTTAAAAACAGGGACAAATAAGTCACATGCCTGAGCAAATTTCTTTTTCAAAACAAGAACCACACAAGTAGTGAATATATATGTGTGTGTGTGTATAGACCTACACTTAATTTTTAAAATGCACTTAAATTTAAATACACATTAACATTTCATATATTTACATTTTTAAAAAAGAAAATGGATAAGATCATTACAATCAATGCTTTTCCATATTTCTTTGAAATTATTCAAATAATTCAAATATTAGAAATCTAAAAGTATAACTAATAAGCTATGGGATCCAAAGCTATAGCTCAGAAACAACAAAAATTTATTCAACTCCTTATCCCTGGCTTTGAGTCAAGACTATCTACTAGAGATCTTAGCTCTTTGCTATACAAGAGAATTCACTAATTCAAAGTCTCAGTCAACACTTATTTTATGGGGAATTCTACTCTCTGTGGACTCTAAGTATACTCTTAGAGTATTTACCTATACCATCCAATATGGTAGCCACTAGCTATACACAGAGATTTAGCTCTTAAAATGGGACTAGATACATTCTGGATTCTAAAGACTGTAACTAAAAACAATTCCTTTTTTAAAAAAATATTGATAACATGTTGGAATAATAACATTTTAGGTATAATGGATTAAATAATATAGATCACTGAAATAAAGTTCACCTTTTTACTTTTTTTAATGTGGCTCTTAGAAAATTTTAAATTACATAAGTGGCTTGCATTACAGTTCTATTGAACAGTGCTGCTTGTCACTCTCATTATAGCACTTTCCAAGCAAGTTCAAACTTTTTTTGAATCTTTTAAAATACTTTATTTATTTGTCAGAGAGAGAGAAAGAGAGCGCGCGCGCGCATGCAGGGGGAGCAACAGAGAAGAGGGAGAGGGAGAAGGCAGCTCCCTGGGAGCCCAATGTGGGGCTCAATCCCAGGACACTGAGATCATGTCCTGAGCCAAAGGCAGATGCTTAACTGAGTCACCCAAACACCCAAATTCAATCTCTTTCGATGAGAAAACTGTTCTCTAATCCATACATTTTTGTGTGTGTTGGTCTTATCTTTCCAATTTGATTAGACACTGAGATGATTAATAATGAATTATTTTTTTACTGAATTTCATTCATTTGCTCAAAATGACAACTTTCTCAGAAAAGGAGCTTTATCCATTGTGATCTATGAAACATGTTGGTGAAGGGTGGTGAAATATGCCTAATTTCTAAAATATGCCTCTTCAGCATTAAGGATTATCTTGGGCTGAGAGCACCTGAAAAGGAACAAATGCAGGGAGAGGCTTTCTCCAAAATCCCTTTATTTGCATAAAGACAGATTCTCCAAAAAAGACTCAACTGTTATAAATTCCCTTCAGGGAAGTTTCATCAACCGGAAAAGACTAATTCTTATCACAAGAGATTAGAAGTTGCCAAACTTTGTCACAAACTATCATATCCCCCATCTATTCTCCTACAGGCCCATTCATCTTTCCTAAAGATCATTTACTGCCCTTTAAGTGGTCTCCATTCCCTCTCCTTCTCCAAGACAATACTCTCTATGTGTATAAGTTCTCACATCTCACAGCTTTTTGGGATATTCACTTTTTTCCTCTGTGATATCTGTGTGCACATAACATTAAAGATTAGTAAATATGTATACCTTTTCTCCTGTTGTCAGTTTCTTTCATAAACCCAGCTCTCAAACCTAGAAGAGCAGGGAAACTCTTTCTTTCCCTATTGTCTCAAATGTTTAATAAGGAATTCAAGATTCCCCCAGTGGAGGTCTTTTCCCAGCTTCTTAAACTCCTATAAGAACAAATGTAATGAGTCAATCCATTTAGGAGAATTTATCCTTGAGGGTAATTTTTTTTAAATCACTAATATTTATCTTATTTTATTCATTAAATCCAGCCATGTAATGGATAGTTCTGATCGTTAAACTACAGATTTAAGGTAGCCCCGAAAGATCCTTTTAAATTCAATGTAATTTAAAAACTTTCAAATCTAGTATAAAAATACACTCAATTAGAGCTCCTTATCTGTACCAAAGAACACAAGAAATAATTTTGAGAGTCTATTTTCTCATTTATCAAGGATGGCAAATGACTAGTACCATCTAGATGCACAGGACAAAAGTTAATTCATTCCATACAACAGAAGCCTTGAGTTATTAAGACTCAATTCTCTAGTGAAGCTTAGTTAAGAAATGGCCGCAACCCCGTATTCCTTAAATATTAATGATTAAGATTCACAGTGTTTGGATTTATACAGTTCTGGTTTCTGAGCTAAAAAGCAATGTTTCCAGGAAAACACACTCTCAACAAAAGAACATTAACATTTGTTTCATGGGCTTTGTAACTAGGCTCTGAAAGGACTTCTAGGACTCATTCATTCAAAAAAACACGGACAGCAACGAGGGGGGTCAGTGATGTCTTAAACCAGACATTCTAGTAAACACTAACAAGCCTCATCTACTTAATAAAGTGCATTTATGAATTCTATTGTAATTCAAAGTTTCAATTTTCAAAATACTAAGTAATCACATTCCAGTCACATATACAAGAATACCAAGTAACTTATAGTTATACTTTACCTAAATATACCAATCCAAATCCTCCAGAGCCAATCATTTTGCCCAGCACCCATTGCTTTCCTTCCGTATCATCCAGAACCTTGCCTTCTGGAAGTGGAACAGGAAGTCTGTATTTCTCATTTCTTCTTGGTGGCATCACTTCTGTTGGCAGAAAGAGATAAGCAATTAGAAAAAAAAAAAAAAAAACAATTAAAATACATTTCTCAAAACATCTTCTATGGGGCACTTTCCCAGGTTCCTACCGGTTAGGATTATGAAGTCAATCGGACTTGGGAAAGCCCACACATTATATTCAAACTGGAATTTCACATACATTATAATACCGAAATACTAGCCTAAAAAAGACTAGCATCTAAAAACCAACCAACCAACCAACCAACCAACCTTTTGAACTTCACGTAACATTTCCAAAATTCATTCAGGGGAGTCTAGAATACCTACTAACGGTGCAAAACATACCTTAAGAAATGAGTTTGCAATTCCGGAGGACGAAGAGAAAATAAGTTTCATATACGTGCAAATTTTACTCCTTTCACTGAGGAATGTTAAGCATCAAAGGTGAGGTCTTTGGCCACTAGGAGAGAATACAGCTTTGGATTAGGAAAGCATGGGCAATGGCAACAAAGACCATCACCAAGCACAGCAGGTCACACTACCGACACAGAGGAGGCACTCAGGAAAATCTCTGTTAAATGAGCCTGGAATTGTCAAGGACATAGGACTTCTCAGAGCACGAGGCCACCAGGCAGCTTCAAGGCCGGCCCCTCTACTCTTGTTTCTTTATACCCTGTGTCTCCCCCATCCTCACCAAAGTGAAAATTGCCCTGCCTTAGGGAATTAATCAATAATAAGTAATCACAGGTTTGTGTGATTTCACAATGAAAGACTTTTGGCTGGAAGAGAAAGCTGCATAGGGAAACACACACACACACACACACACACACGCACACACACAGCTCGTCTTCCTGAAACTAATTTAAATGCGAGGGTTCACTGCAATCCTCTAAGAATTTACAAAAAAAAAAAAAAAAAAAAAAAAAAATTTTTTTTTTTTTTTAGCAGCACTGGTTGAGTGCTACCGAGCTGGAAGTTCATGTAAAGTTTTCGTTGTATGATCTTCCCAATTTTCTCAAAGTTTCTGTTCCTTTAATGAGGCTTCCCTCCTTCACTTAAACCAAGGCCCTAGCGTCTGGGAGCCGAGGGCCGCGGCTCTAAGGAGACCGACCTCACCTCCACGAGGGCAGCAGGGCCTCAAGGCGTTTGGGGGGGTATTTTTTTTTGGGGGGGGGAGGGTCCCCCCCAGGGTCCCTCCCCCCGATGCTTTATACACACTGACATCCAATACATATTTGGGAACTGAAAACCTAAAGTCTGCAAAGAACAACTTTTCAGCGGGGGCACAGCACAGCCCGGGGGCATCGGAACTCGGAGCTGGAAGGGGCCGTTCAACTGCACCTCCTGGGCGCGGCCCCGGGCGGCGGCGGCCCCTCCGCTTCGGGTCCCTTCCCGGGTGTCCCGAGGCCTGAGCACGCGCGGCGCCGGGCGCGGGGCCCAAGGCGGCCCAGCCCCCACCCCGCGAGCCCCCGGCGCCTGCAACCCCTCCCTTCCCTCCCGCCCGCCCCCAGCTCCCTCCGCACCGGCGACAGACGGAGCCGGCCCGGGCTCGGGGCGGCCGAGAGGCGAAGGGGGCGTCGGATGGCGGGAGTTAGGACCCGGCGGGCGACCAGGCGCGGAAGCGGGGCCTGCGCGGCCCGGGGTGTCGGGCGCTCGCTCCGACGGCGGCCGGTGGGAGTTAGGACCCGGCGGGCGACCAGGCGCGGAAGCGGGGCCTGCGCGGCCCGGGGTGTCGGGCGCTCGCTCCGACGGCGGCCGGTGGGAGTTAGGACCCGGCGGGCGACCAGGCGCGGAAGCGGGGCCTGCGCGGCCCGGGAGGTCGGGCGCTCGCTCCGACGGCGGCCGGTGGGAGTTAGGACCCGGCGGGCGACCAGGCGCGGAAGCGGGGCCTGCGCGGCCCGGGGTGTCGGGCGCTCGCTCCGACGGCGGCTCCTCGCGGGGCGGCGGGGCGGGCGGAGAGGGCGGTGCCCGGGGCCCGGGAACCTGGGCGGGCGGGCTCCTGGGGCCGGGCGGGGCCGCGGGCCTCCAATCCCGCGGGGAGGCGGGTCCCGCCCGCGCCGGCCCTCGGAAGGGCCCGGCTGACGTCCGCGCGCCCGCCCCAGCCGCGTGTTCCGCGCCCGGGCGCCGGGGGACGGGGGCTGCGCGGAGACGGCGCCGGCACGCGGCCCGCCGGGGGCTGCGGGCTGGGCCGTCGGGTCCCCGCGGTGCATCCGTGCAGGAGGACTCGGGTCCCCCGTGCGCGAGCCCTTACGGACACGCACCCCGGCGAGTGCCGCGGGCCAGGCCCCTGCGGCCCGGACCGAGGTCCAGTTCTCAGGCAACTGATGGGATAACCTTCACTCAACGTAATTACTTTACAGAAATTCAGGTGGCTTTTTTTTTTTTTTTTTTTGCAGACTGGAAATAACCGTAGTTATTATTTAGGTTATAAGGGATGTGAAAGAAAAAATACTGTAATGACACTTGTTAAAATGGTAAAGAAAACTTTATTCCAAACTATTGCAATAGGAGCAAGCTGCATTCAATGCCGAAGACAGCACAAAGTGGGACTTTATGGCCAAGTAGGGGTGGGGTGGGGGTCGGGGGGGGGTTCAGGGCATGGAAAATTATTGAGGAAATGTCAGAGATGAGGGGAGCAGTCTGGCTACACTGAGCTAACAGGATTCTTGCTGAAGACGGGCCTGGGCGATCCGAACTCACCTGGGGGCTGGGGAAGGATGGAGAACTCCGATACAGAGGGTTGTGGTTAGATGGGAGATTTGGGCCTGCCTTAGCAGGATCCTCACTAAAAGTGGACAATGTAGAGAGAACAAATGGAGTCAAAAGCCATCCCCGGTTGAAAAGGAGTTCTGGAGAGCCTGAGTCGAGTTTGGTCAAAGAGGACCTTGAGCAGGCTATATTAGTTATAAAATTGTGATGATACTTAAGTGAGAGAAATGAATTAAGTGGTTTTCTAACACATAATAAAGACTCCTAGTGAGCCTCTGATATTTCACTGTAGACAAAATAAATGCTCCAAAAACAATCGTTAAACAATATGTCAACATCCTATGTAGGAAGCCAGTAATTCACGTGGGATGCAAACTGAAAGGAAAATCAGAGACCTTGAGTGACTCTGATGGAATAAGGTTTTAGGACTTCCTACATCTATCACCAAATGGAAGATGACATCAGAAAACATTTCCTAAGCACTTGGTGCTATAGATTTGAGAGCCTTTATAAAGAAATTCAGTGGTCTACCTGTAGAATAATTGCATTTTTTAAGGTAGTCCTTCAGTAATCCAATAATGTCCATTCCTATTTCCATAAGACATATATATATGTAATAGAAGCTATCGGTTGCCTAGCCAAACATCCATGTGGGCATTTTTTTCTCACATTCCAGATTTATTCAGGTTTCTACCCACTTTCCTAGGTTAATTTCTTTGGGAAGATGCAGCTCCAGCACCAACCACAATAGGTTACTCCTGAGGGGGTCATACATGGCTCTTGCCTTCATACTTATATAGAGAATATACTTGTGTCTTTGTCTGTTCAGGCTACTAAACCAAAACACCATAGACTTGGTGGCTCTAAAACAACAGAATTTTATTTCTCACGGTTTTTTTTTTTTTTTTTTTTTTTTTAATTTATGATAGTCACACACAGAGAAAGGGAGAGCAGAGACATAGGCAGAGGGATAAGCAGGCTCCATGCACCGGGAGCCCGACGTGGGATTCGATCCCGGGTCTCCAGGATCGCGCCCTGGGCCAAAGGCAGGCGCTGAACCGCTGCGCCACCCAAGGATCCCTATTTCTCACGGTTCTTAAGGCTAGGAAGGTTATGACCTAATCACCTCCAGGACCCTATCTCTTCACACCATTAGATTGGGGATTAGGTTTCAACATAGGAATGTGGGGGCACACATTTAGTCTGGGGTACTTGGCAAATTCTGTTAGCTCAACCTTCAAATTACATCCAGAATCCATCATTTCTCATCACCCCTACTGCCACCATCCTGGTTCAAACCATCATGTGTTTCCCGGATAATTGTTGTACCTTTCTAAATGCTGTCTTGTTTTCTACCCTTCAATGCCTTCAGTCTGTTCACAGCAAACAGCTAAATGATATTTTTAGAAGCCTAAATTACATCCTTCCTCCGTTAAAAATACTTTAGTGTCATTCCAAGTTATTCAATAAAAGCCAATCCTTACTGTGACTTAAAACAGTGTTTTTCAACCCTGACAATATTGACATTTGGACCAGATGCTTCCTTTTTGGGTGTTGGGGGTTGTCCAGAGGTGGTCTATCTCCCGTAGATAGGATATTTAGCAGCATCCCTGGCCTCCCTAGCAGTCTCCACCAAGTTATGATGACCAAAAATCAACTATTACCAAATTCTGTAAATGTCAGAGTATCTCTATGGCCTTACTCTATCACTTTCTTCAGGTCTTTATTCAAAAGACAACTCAGGGAGACCTTTTTGTTTCACCAACCCAACTCAAATTCTAACCTACCAACAATACTTCATAGCCCCCTTTCCTTTTTTCCTCTCAGTACTTAAGTATTGTACAACAACATATTATACAGGTAACTTCTTTATTCAGAAAATAGACAAATAGTCTTCCTCAGTAAACTGTATGTTCCATGGGAAGGCAACATTTTTGACTCTTTGCGTCACTAATAATTCCCAGTCCCTATGATACAAATAGAGAAAACACACCATATTCCTGTTAAATGAATAAAAGGAATCATGATGGTATCATTCCTTTCCCAGTGATTGGTTTAGACAGTATGTATATATGAAATATAGGTAGAGGCAAAGAAAAGTTTTCTGGATACTTCTATAAAGAAATGTTCTCTTCTGGATATCATTCCTGATGTGATGTCTAAAATTTCTCCAGTCATCTTGTGAACATAGGGGTACAAATTATAAATCTAATACACCACAAATGTCAAAATGTTCAACAAGTGAGGTTAGAATATTTACTCACATATCCAAAAAAAAGGGGGGGGGGGAAGAAAAGAGAAACTCAACCCTTAACTCACACCTCATTTAGAACTTGACTCAAAATTGATCGTGGACCTAAATCTATATGCAAGAGCTAAAACTATAAAACTTTTGGAAGAAGGCCTAGGAGAAACCCTTTATGGTCTTAGAATTGATAAATCTTTGTGATCTTTGAGTTTATATGATTAGAATGTTCCCAAAGAAGCTGAAAGCCTAAAAGAAGAACTTGACAAATTAATTTCATCAAAATTAAAAACATTTGATCTTCAAAAAGCCCTGTGAAGATACCAAGTTTTGGTAATATATGAAAAAACAGACATTCTCTTTCTTCGCTCATGGGGATCCAAAGTGCTACAGCCACTTCAGAAAGCAATTTGTCAGTTTCTTAATATATTAAATGTATAATTAGCATACAACCCAGCATTCATGTTCCTAGATATTTAAGAGAAATGTAAACCTATATCTACACAAAGACTTGTATGTAGATGTTTATAGCAGCTTCTTAGGTAATAGCCAAAAATTGAAAACAGCTCAAATTCCCATCCAGAAGTAAATGGATAAACAGATTGTGGTATATAATATATCTCCTACACAATGGAATATCACTCAGCAATAAAAAGGGACAAACTACTAACACAAGCAATAATCTGGATGGATCCCAAAAGCGCAGCGCTGTATAAAGGAAAGAAAACATAAAAGAATACGTATCATAAAATTCCTCTGAAATTCCCAAGAATTGCTTTGAAGTGGTGGATTGATTCCAAAGGAGCTAGTAGAACTTTTTGGAATGACAGACATGTTTAATTTCTTGATTGTAATGATGATTACATGAGTATACATCTGTAAAAACTCCTCTAACTGCACACTTAAGATTAATGAATTTTATGATATGTAAATTATGCCTCAGTGAAATAGACTTAAAAAGAAAAGAATGGCTGAGGAGAATGACGGGAAGAACCTGATTTGTTGAGACTTTCATTGAATCACTCATTTAACTGACACTGAAGCCACCATACTTTTCATATTCTTCTGTGAAGTGTTAAATGTCCTTATTGCTTAAGCCTCTTAGCATTGATTTTTTTTATGTTTCTTGCAGCCAAAATCTTCCTAACAGATGAAATAAAGTTTCAAGTGGCAATGAATTTAAAATGTTAATAAATTTGTCATAAATAAAAATGGGAACAGAAGTGCAGGTAAACCTGTATTGAGAATATGTGGGGTTTTCTTAAGTGTTGGGTTTTAATGCAGAATTTTATGATTCAGAGCATATTGCTGTGTGTATGTTTCAAGATGAAAACTGACAGAATATAGAAATACAAATTTTGGAACTAGTGAAAGAGCGTCTTCTGAATGAACATGATGAGAAACAAGAAAGAAAAGAGAATCTAGACATGAAGCACTGAAGTATGAGTCATCAGAAAAAAAAATAGGGAAAACAAGGCTTTCAAACAAAGCTATTTTGATAGATCTTACAGACTATGAGTGATTCACCAGAAACACACACACACACACACAAAAGGACTTTCTTGGCGGTGTGCCAACATTGTAGGTATGGCTTGGGTTCTGCTTTTCAAAGAACCAGGTGCTATGAAATGCTTATACTTGTTCAAATAAAAAAGAAAAACCTAGCCATTCAGTGAGCACACCTTACAAGCCCAAGATCATTTCAAATCAATTAAAGTGTTAAAGATGTTGCATAGACAAAACATTTAGAAAAATCCAATCTTTGTAATTTAA